GCTGCAGTCAAGTGCAGTATGATACCCTGGTCATGCTTCAGAACTAGGCAAAAGAAACCAAGTCTTTCTAATCCTATGACAGACAACTTCATCAGAAAGGGCCACCATCCAGATGTTTTTTTCAGGTTCTCAAATGAAAACATTCCTTATAATAAGGTATCCTGAAAGTGACTCCTCCAGAAAGCATATTGCAGTGCTGTTCCTCAGCTGTAGGAAGTCACAAAATATACTGCAGCTGGCTTTTATTGCAAAAACCTTCATCATGGCACAATCTGTTAGATACATATAATCATACACATAGACAAACACAATCCCAAAAGAGAAAGTGAGGTACAGAAAAAGAGATCAGGCATCTCTAGTCCCTGCAGAATCCAGTGCCCCTTACACAAGCCCTGAAAGGCACCGCAGTCGCGCTGGGTAACTGGAGACGACGCTGTAACTGAAGCCAAGCACCACGTGCCCTTGTGCAGCTCTGCCAGACAAGCAGGTCACTTGGGCTGCTAAAACCTGTAACAGCAGGGAGACCTGGCTTTCCAGCTGCCAGGGTGAAATATGAAGCATTTTAGTTCTGCAAACTAGTTAGGAACAGAGCTGGGGGTCTCACTCCTACGAGAACGAAAAATAGTGAGAAAATTTGAGGCAGGTATCTACAGCTCTCTTTAAAGGCATTTCAGATTGATAAACACTGGTCTGTCTCAGACACTTCTGAAGGGAAAAGGAAGGTACGAGACTTTTTCTTTGAAGTGTTAAATGTTCTTTAAGTAATATTTCAGTACTTGGAGCACCAATGCAGTATTCAGAGGTGCTGTCTGCTGTTAACAGAGTCCACAAAAGTCTAACCAAGTCATAAAACCAAAAATAGCCTGTTGCTCACACTCAGTAAAAGTTGGCTGAAGACTGACAGCAAGAGCCTCCAGCCACAGCCCCGGTGCTGGCACTGTCCCCCTGCACGCTGCGGTATTTGACTTGCTTTTACTTCCACGGGCCCCAAGAGCTCCAGCACCGTCCGGCCTCTCTCCCTGCACAGGAGGGACCCACTGACAATCTAAGAGCCCCAGCACAAGGGCACAGGGAGGCACCCACGGAGAAGCTGCAGAGAGAAGCAGTAGTGGGGAGCAAGGAGAGGGCCACGAGCAGAAGGGCCTGGACACAAGAGCGCGTTCCTGCACCTAAATAGAAGCTGCAAATCCCTCCACCTCTGCTCTACTACAGGCGATTGATGTTCAGCAGATCTCTCAGGATGAAATTTGGCAAGCCATTTTTGTGACGCCGGCTGATCTTAGGCAACCACCACAGCCCACTACGGGTGAGGATGGAGTGCTCCGTGTTGAGCAAGTCCATGTACCTGCCCCAGCCAGCCAGGCTTTTTCCTCCTACCTACCCGAGCTCATGACCCTGCCAGAAGCGCCACCAGGTCCAGGTGCCCATTCCTCTCCCTTCCTATCTCCTCCAAAAAAAGGAGCTGAGAGCAGTAGTCACAGATCTAGGTCAGAGCAGAGCACAGCAACCTTAAAATTCATACTGCAGCATGGAGGAAAAAAGAAGGAAAAAAAGACCAGTGAACCACAGTAACTGGCTATGGCTACGCAAACTGGCTGACACAAAATTAGCTTCCTATTTCACTAATTTCAAATGGGAGATTCACCCCGACCCACCTGGCTGAACATAAGGCTAAGCAAATAAACCTACACAATAAATCAAAGTGCAACAGAGTGCAAATTTTTTGAAGTCTTAAGACCACTAAAACTGCAAAAACAAACATTTGTAATCTACAACCAGAGACCTATGGCTTCCCAAATTACTTCACCGGCCTTTAAGTACATACGCGGTGGCCTCAGTATGTTTGTAACTGCAGAGCTGCCTTCTCCAGGACTCGTCTCGCTTAGTGCTCACGACAGAGGGTGTTCAAGAGCACAAGTAAAACTGTTTGAAAGACAAAACTGCTGTTTCCACAAGCCTTGCTTATTTGAAGAAAATTAAGTATAGCACAAGTGGCCTACAAGAGGCAAAAAAAAGAACATTTCCTTCCTGCTTTCCTCCCCCTGAATTCCCTATGCCACTGGGGGGCATAACATATTATGTCCACTTAATGTATTTTCACAGTAATTCAGTTCATTTGTAAAGCATCTAAATTACTGGTAAGAGTAACTTGGAAACTCCAAAGAAGAGAATTATGTGTTTGGTTAAGAGCTGGGATGCCAAGTAGCACGTTTGCTGTACTCCCACATCTTATCTTTTCCAATTATTAACAATTTCCTGGAGAACAGCAGAAAAGCCATTTCAAATCATTTGTGTTAATAACTTCTAAAGTGAGGTTTTGCCATCTTGAACTTTTGACAGCCTTACCTGCAATTTAAGTAAAAAAAAAAAAAAAAGTTACATATGAGTCAAAACAAATTACATGAGTTGCATATGAGTCAAAACAAATAAACCCATAACTTTCTACTGCAGTCATTCTTCATTAGAACACAAAGCAAGTTATCCAACAGTTGAACTGTATTATATCATCATATTACTATTGAATTAACAACAATAAGAGTGAAAATTCTCAAGTCCAAAAATCCTAGACCTGTACATAGTTCACAATCAGGACTTACAATTCCATCTTTGACCTGACTCGCACCACCATCCCCAGAAGAAAGCAGACACAGACCTCCAGGGAACTTCTGGGCAGTTTTCAGCAGCATTTAGCCAGTCTCTACAGTTCAATAGCCTTAAAAGTGTGGGGGCACAAATCCCAGGCTCGTGCTTGGGGCAGAACTGCCAAATGGTACCTCCCCATGGTACTTGCCAGGCTCTGGAAAGCTTTATTTCCAAGGCTGGAAAGCACATTCTTAAATAGCTGCAATTGTTCCATCCAATTTTATCCACAGTCTACCACAGTTCAACAGGCAATAAATTAAGAAGTCTCCAGAGTGATGTTATCTCAGACTCTGTACTCAAACAAGAAAAAAATAAATAAATAAAGACAGATTTTATTTGCTTACTTGCTCTGTGTCAGGCATTTACAATCTCCGTTATCAATGATAACGCTACCACCGTTTTGGATGTTGATGTGCTGATAGTTGGCAATACCACCGACTAATTTAAATGAACTAACAGTAGCATAGGGAAAAAAAAGAAAGAAAAAACAACAGCAAAAATCCACACAACTAGGAAATCCGTAGCTGTCATCCAGTGAGTTAAAGTGATATATTGGCACCTTTTGTATCATAGAAGATTAATCACCTGACCTAAACAACAACAACAAGACAATAGAGTCAGACTGCTGCAAGATTATGCAGATGGTATGGTTTCTATACCCTAGAAGTTTTATGAACAGTTAAAAGCAGCAGACCACTTGGCACAATAGTCACTGGGGGTTCCCAGCTGTGTTTTATGTCTCTTCTGATCTTTTCAGTAGCAGCAGGTCAAACCTTCGTAGCCATCTTTTATGTTGTCCTAAACAAGTTATCAACCAAAACCAAAATCATAGCTCTGTTGATGCTAAAAATAGAGCTTTTGAGAAAAGAGACATAGAGTTTTTTCCGCTCCAATGAAAAGGCTTTGAAACTGTTTAAAAGTCAATGATCAAACACCACAACTTTATGACGGGGTTGATGACAGCCTATACATATAATAACACTGTACCTGCCAGGGGACAGGAGGTGGGTTTTGGAAAATATGCTTTATAAGAAGAAAGCTCACTGCAGGGCCCACCATTAGGACTTCCCAGAGCTGACTACAAAAATGAACACGGCCTTAGAATTCACACAGCTCTCAGGACCCAAGAATAAGCGCGCCCTGAAAACGGGTAGTTGAACCATCAGTCTAAATGCTAGCTTAACGTTTTTCTTGGAAAAACACAAACAAGCACAAAGCTGGCGTCCACAATACTCTACTGAAAGTTATGTATTCGCTCTCACTTCTAAATGAAGTTTCAAAGGCAGAAAACATACTAGAGCGTACGTAACAACTATATTGCAGGAAGCAGCGTAACCAAAGCCAACGTAAGACCCAACGGAAGAGAAAGCTGGTATCACTCTACAAAATCTTAAGCATATTTCACCCACTCTTACTCATTCCCTCATTTCCTTCATTCACATTTTCTCACCCACCTACTAATAAGCACCAGGACGTACGCAGACAAGTGGTCTAGCCAGGATATTGTACATAACATACACACTGCCAGAGACATCTGCTATTGAGTCTCCACCTCATCTCTTGCATTTTTCTTGATTGGTGGCAGTGAATTCACTCAGGGATTTTTTATATCTTTTTGGAGTGATCTCTTAGTGCAGTGGGAGGATGCTATCAGAAAAGGTCTGGCACAGTATATGATGCAATCCTGATGCCATGTTCCTGCTGCCAGAGCACAGCATCTCCCTATTAACAAGCTGTTTGGGCTGTGGGCTTAGAATAGAGGCCTCCTCAATCCGCTTAATTGTAAACTTTATCCTTTGTCACCAGCAAAGGCTACCCTTAACTCCTGTTCCATTTTTTTTTTTCTGAAGTGTTCTTCCTCAGCTCATCTTCTGTAAATACTAAATAGCACATACAAAAAATACAAGTTATACAAAAGCTAATTAGAATCAAAAGTAAAAGAATTTTCATCATAGTAGCTTTTACAGACCTGAAGATGACATTTCTTTTTAGCATAAACAGCAAGTTAGTAAAATGTCAACTTCTTTGTGGAGAGAAAATTAGCTTATTTTAGGACGAGTAACATGAGAATAAGTTCTAAATGCCACTTTAAAAAGGAGCTAAACATGGAGACAGTGGGTCACAGAAAAACAAGAAAACATGATACCAGAAGAATAAGATAAGAACTCTTAAGGATCTTATCAAAAAAAAATACCTTAATTATAGGGGGGGGAAAAAAACCTGCACAAAAGTTACGCCTAATTATCTGTCAAAACACAGAACACAGCACAGATATTCAGCATATGCATTCCTGTTTAGCAGCAGGAAAATCATATTGCAGTAGTACCATTAAACAGACTGCAACGAGTCTCACTTACTTTGATCAGCATAGTTTTTTGCTTTTAGTTCAAGCTGTCGAGTTTGTGATTCTAGTGCTTCCACTCTGACCTGCAAGTCCTTTTTTTCTTGTTCTTGAGAGTCTTCAAACTCAATAAATTTCTAGACAAAAAAAAAATAAAGTGAAGTTAGACTCAACAACAGAAAATTTCTTTTAAAAGCATCAGCAAACTTTTTTCATTGTGAAACAGAAGCAAATCTAGATTCCTATGTTTTTAACATCGGAATGTTAAAGACTTCAGACATTAGAAAGACTTCAAATTTCCTAGAGGTTTTTAAATTAGAAAGACTTTGACTCCAAGCAGCATATAGGAGACTATGCAGCAGCCCTTCAAAGAACAGGGCAAGCCTGTCTCCAAAACAACACCACAGATCAAGAGTCCACATTTAAACACTAAGGACACTAATGATATTCCAGTCCAGACCATTGTTTAAACCTTCCATCTAGCTTGCTCTGCATAATCACTATCACCTGAGTGTCAACTACTTGAGAAGTCTGCCTGGGACTAATGTGAACATGAATTATTTAGGATTGGCACTCACCTGCCAGGCAACACTACATACAAGCACTGAAAGCCTTGGTATCCTTTGCATTTGGCTGCACTGCTAAGGTGTATGTTCATGTGCAAGCCAGGCAGGTGGAGATGCTGCAGCGGGGCAGAAATAACACACAGGAAAAGCACAGAACACTAAGCATCCAAGGAGGAAAATTTTACCAGAGAAAAACATCCAGGAGCACTAACAGGTTTCAGAAAGAAAACTGCAAGCTGGATAACATGCAGCAGCAGACAGGAGTCTGGATACAAAGTAACAGGTGGCAAATGTAAGATAAAAAGGATTATTAATTTATTTTTGTCAGCAATAATCTATCAATTCAAAAGGGGGGATACAGACTGTGCACAGCCCTACTTCATTTTGGTCCTCCCAGTCAAAGATGAAACAGTCTCATGCTCGATTTGACAGAATTGAGGGAAATATCTAAATGGAAAACTACTCTTAAGAGTGGTTATTAGTGGTAACACTCATTTCCACAGCATCAGTTAGGTCAACAAGGTAACATTTAACAGTTCCAGTAAAGGAAAGCAGAAGTGGATGAAAAAAATCCTACCACGGGGGAACACACGAAATATCAGACACGTTAATACTTGTGTGCAAGACACTGCTGTATTAGTACAATGCTATTACATCAGACCAGGTGAGGTAACCTTCAGTAAAAATAAACTAACTTGATATAAACTCTTCACAAAATAGATTTTTAAAGTATATTATAGATCTGCATCTAAGCTTTTCTTTGTTTATAGAAATGTTTGGCAAAAAAAAAAAACCCTACTGTGTTCAAATGCTTGTATAATCAACCTTTAAGCTGCTGACAAGCTTTTAAAAGTAGAAACTTGTAACCCTATGAAAGGGCTTTGGTTTAGCACAGTGTTTGGAAAACATTTTGCTTCAAAATTACCTTGAATGTAGAAATACATCATTATCTGTAAAGTGGAACAAGAGCCTCTTTCAAGCAAGTGCTACATGGCTATCACAGGACCAGGAATGGTTTTCATATGACTGTGCTTGAAGCAAAATAGTGAAATAATCAAGAAACAGCTGACATCAAGCTAGGTAGAAATGCTTTGGATTCTGGGATTTAAAAATAAGAGTTCTTTCCTGCCTCACAAAGTCAGTGTGGAAAACTATTTCTACATACACAACACACACATACACCCCCTTCCCCACGAACAGACACCAGAGCAAAGCTTACGAAGGTTAATTAGTGAGTGGAACCCTGAAAACTTCATACTTAGCCCACAGACCCTCCGCTTTGTAACAAACAAGGCAAAAGTTTTATGGCCTTTTATTTTAGAAATCCAAGCCATGTCTAGCTTATTCATTCTTAAGAGACTCCCTTATTAACAAGGGCTTCAAAGCTTTTGACAAAAATTTGGCACTGAGGCTAAATACCAACATGGTTTGGTAAAGTAAAAATGGAAAAACATGAAAGAAGAATTCTAAAATAAAACTGTAACATCTTTGTTTAGTTGCTTCTCCGATGATTTCCAAAAGTCAGATGTGCTTCATAACTTGCAAAAGACCAGTGACAATTATGCTTTTGAATGAACAGCCGCTTAAATCCATCAATGTCCTTGTTACTCATGAAGCTAAAGATAGATCAGGTTCTTCATCCAGTTTTATTTCCTCTCAAGTTCAACAGTAAGTATTAAAAGCTGCTGTATATTAAGGTTTGAAGGTTTTTAACTAGTTTAGCTTCTATAAACACACAGATTAATACATAGGAGAGAAACAGTTTAAATGAAGCCTGTAATAGTCACTTTAGGAAAAGCTTAAGCTCATTCTAGCTTTGCAAGCATGAACATTAAGATATATCAGGCATTCTCTTCCACTCTTTTTCAGTGAAGAAATCTGCTGGGAATTTTCCCATTTCCTCCTTCCCTCTCCACCCATGTATTAAAGTCTTCCCCTGCCCTTCCCCCAGCTTTATAGGTGCAAAACTTTTACAAAAAATTAATCCCTCTAAGGTCACAAACTAGATTGCATCTCAGCGATATTTGCATTTTTGAACAGTAGTATTATTTTAAATTCAGAATTACATAAACCAGTTTCAACATCTCCCTAAGGTGACATTTTTCAAAATTTATAATGAACATCCGTGCTGATTCAAACCCGTGTGACACAGATACTTAGCTGCTCGGTTAAAGCTTTCTTCCTCCACTGAAAGCTAGGCCAGAACAAACAGTGCCCCAGTACTTTCGACACAATCTTTAGATTTTATAATGTTTCCATTTTGTTTCATTTCTGCTCCCCGTGATAGTGTTAACACACACAAAGTCCCAGGAGATCATTTGGGCTCAAACAAGATGAGTTCACTGGAAAGACAAGTCTCATAAGCAACTGGCACAGCCAGGGATACACCGAGTACCCCCTATAAAAGACTTGAGTTTACACTGACACTTTAAAAGACTTAGAAGACGTAGAATATTTTTTAAGTAAATGCAAGGACAGAGACATGTGCTACTCAATACACAGATACAAAACATGTTCTAAGCTACTAAAGCTACTAATTACACAAAACACCACTGCATCAGACAAAAACTAGCCTTCCCCACTTAAAAGAAAGTGCTCTCCAAGAGGGAACTTGTTACAAAGTGAATCTGGGAGGCTTTGGGGATTTTTTGGAGGAGCTGAATCACACCACACTTTTCTTTTAAAACAGTCAAACCACAGAAGATTAGAGAAGCCAGAGCTAGAACAGACTTTAAAAGGCCTTCTAGTTTCAAGGCTCTTAGACCCTGATACTCAGGTACTCATACTGCCGGTCCTAGTTTTGCCGTGTGACGAAGGGCGAGCGCAGGATGTGCGGCGTGCCGCCGCCTGCACGCGCCCGTGCTGACAGCCCAGCCCGTGATCCCTGCAGCAACTGTGTGTGGTGACTCCCAGGTAACACCTCCCCTCTGCTCCAGACAGGATCAACAAAGTCATTCCAGAGAAATGTTCGTCTAACCTGTTCTGAAACACCGCCAGTAGAAATAAATAAATAAATAAAAATTATTAAAAAAAAGAAACAGTGCCTTAAAAATAAGACTGAGTAGTCCTTATATAATCAATTTTAAATCTAGATAAAGTAGATGCAAAAATACGAACTCAGATCACAAATAAAGCAACACAGGATGTAGATCTGGAACCACTCTACATGCACACAACTGTTTAACTATGCAATGATATCACACGATACCCTGCTGAGAGGAGACCCCGCAAAGCCCCCTCTGCCACACACATTCAGGCAGAGCTCACTTCACGTCTGAGGGAGCAGAACCAACTACTGAGCTGATTAACACACCAGATAGCAGAACCTCAAACCCTTCCTCCTCTCCCTCTTTGACGCAGGACACTCTGCTTAACACTTACCAAGGGGGAAGATAAGTTATGTACAACTGTAAGCAGAACTGCAGAATAGCTAGTTCCTCTGCTACTTTAGCTGTACCTCCACATATCCAAGGTTAAAAGTTAGGCAAGGGACTTTAAAGCCATTAAGACAATCATGACTGTTACTTAATCTGAGAAGGAGGCCCCAAATTTCTGAAGTATCTTTGCTTTTTAAAATCGACATATCAGAAGTTCACAGTCATTAACTTCCCAGTTGTTTCTTAGGTAATACTTTTTTCAAAATACAGGAATTGAAGAAGGCAGTTTAGGACAGCAGTCCAAGGAGATAACTATTTAAATAATAAACTATGAATATTCATCAAGATACCACTACAAATAAAACACTCCCTACAAAGTAAACACAGGGAAGTTATTTCTTCAGGACTGTCAGAACAGGTGAGACACAGAATATTAAACTTAGCGAAGTGGAAAATTTGACCTACTATGTGATGATTGCTCACTTAATCCAAATGAAAGGGCAAAAAATAAAATAAAAATCACTAAGCAAACCACTTGTCAAAAAAAAAAAAAAAAGGCACTATATGATATTCCGGTTCCCGCCTCTTGCTGCAATAGCACCGCGCCCACACCATTACCTCAGCATTCAAAAAATTTTTGCAACAATCAAATACAAATAAAACACACAACTGTCATTTATATAAAACGCTTTATCTGTAACATTTTCCACACATACTGTACACAGCCTAGCTGACCTCAGCACACACCAAAAAGATGACCTTTGGACTTGGAGGTGAAAATGTGGTGTTCTAGCTAATCGCATTTTAGAAAGCAGCAGTAAGTTGTCTCACAGCACGTGAGTAGTAGTTTTCATACTGCATAATGCTGGTCTCCTTAATTCCTTGGGTTAATTTACCATGATAGAATGAAATGGTGATTATACTGAGGTACAAATACCAACACATGCATCCTCAGCTTCAGAAGAGCCACAGAATACAGTTAATACTATATTCTATTTCATCAGACTGTTGTGGTTCCTGTTCTGCTGCCCAAGGCCTGCTTTTTCAGTCTAGCAGACATTGCCTGTGTTTTAAGCCCAACTGACTTTTTCCTGAACAAGTTCAGATAATATTTACAGTATATTCCTTTTTTATTTTATTTTTTTTAAGAAGACTTCTTCATGCTGCTTGTGCCATGACTAGAGACTAAACCCCCAGACCACAGTCTTAGACAGGAACACTACATGATATTCCAAGCACTAACAAGGGTCTACTAGCCCAAGCATCTAGGGATCACTCTTCACACTAGCTTGCTCTATGCCAAACTACCAGAGTCCTGGAACAACTTGCACACTAACAATCTTCAATCACTTCAAGCCATTATATATACACAAATATGTGTCCAGGGAAAACAATCTTTCCAAGTTCAACTTACTTTGCTAATATTGTTTTACCTTCAGTGCTGCTGCTTTTTTGTTTCTGGAAAATTTAAGTCGAACACACCCATGGAGATAAACACGGGGCACAGAGCCTGGAAATAGACTTATAAGATGGTTTGTTCTACTGCAGATAATGCTGCCAATCCAATTTCCTACTGGAGTTCTGGGAGGCAAAGAACTGATATCCCACACAGCTGATTTCTATTGCACTGCTCTAAGGTCTCACAGAAAAGACACTTCACATGCACATATAACACGTAATAGCAGTGGTGGAAATGGTAATTCTTTGTCACCTTCAATCTCTGCAGCAACAGCCCAAGTCACAGCTGGGGCCACTGAACAACCTGCAGCACCTGTTGCTGGCTGCAGTCTCTACCTGGCACCTCAGAACAGCCGCAGCCTGGACAGTACTTATTCCCCTGCGCTTTGTGGTGACTCTTGTTCCAAGAGCCCTGTGCAATACACACGATAAAGGCTTAAAAGCAATAAAATATCAAATCCCTGCCCCTAAGAAGGACCAGAGGAGAAGCGAAATAGTAAAGCAGTTATCGAATGACTCCATGTTGACCATCAAGCAGCGTCACGTTTCTTGGAGGGACCCTGCAATCTGAAGCAGGGTTTCTGGGAGCACTCTCAGTGCTGGGCGGGAGGCCCTGCGAGCAGAGCAGCCCAGGTGGGCCAAGGAAAAGGGCGCCCAGCCCCACACAGGGCACCGAGGCCTCCCGGCCTCCTTCCCCAGCAAGGCCCCAGAGCTCCCGCACAGCCCGGCCCACGCCGGGGTATCACAGGCGGCCTCACGACGTCTCCTCGGCCCCGCTCACCTCCTCGGCCTGCTTGCGCAGCGCCTTCTCCCGCTCGTACTGCGTGAGCAGCTGCTCGTTGTCGTCCCGCAGCAGCTCCAGCTCCACGCTGGTCTCCTGGCTGTGCGCGCACACCGAGTCGAGGTTCTCCAGCACGGCCACCACCAGCGGCAG